TTAGGTGTTTCGATGGACCCCCCTGACCCCCCCGCCCCCCCCGCCCCCATCGACACCACCACAGACGCACAGACACCCCCCGCCCCCGCCCCCGACAACCATCCGCAGAAGCCCAGAGCAGAGGTGGCACGGGAGATGGCCCAGGCGATCGTGCACCTGTGCAAGACGCGCAGCGGGCGGGCGTTCGAGGTGTACCGGCGGTTTGTGGATGAGGGGTATGACGCGGAGGTGGGGTATGACGAGGGGCTGTATGTGGGCCTGGTGGCGTTTCCGGCTCATGCGGGGCATCACCAGGACTTCCACAAGGAGGTCATACCGACCATGAAGGTGAGTAGGTGTGAGCGTGTGCATGTGGGTGGATGGGTGGAGCTCTGTCTGTCTCTCTCTCTCTCTGTGTCTCTGTGTTTGTGGGTCGGGGATGTGTCAAGGCGCATGGCATTTTGTGTCCTTTTGGGTTCTTCCAAGTGTTGATGAAGATCTTCTCGTCCAAGCAGATGTACGACGAGGCGCTGGGCCTCTACGACCTCATGAAGCAACAGAACGTCGAACCCGACGCACCCATGCTCAGGTACGCAACAACCCATTTCCCCTCACCCCACCCCATTCCACCCCTCCCTCCCTCCATCCCTCCCTCTCTGCCACACTCATGTGTGTATTAGGTGTCTGATCAACTTCGCGTTTGCATGCGACGACCTGGTCAAGGTGGAGGCCTTGTTCGCCGCCCTCAAGCAGCACGAGCTCCCCTGCATACAGTCATACACCACACTCATACGCGCATACGGCCGCAGAAACGATGCATGGGTCGGTATACACACACACATACACACACACACACACACAGAGAGAGAGAGAGAGAGAGCAACCTCCCTGCTTGTGGTCTTGTGTGTGTTGCACACGTCAGGCGGCCCTGAAGGTGTTGCGTGAGATGCTGGCCAGTGGCGTGCAGACCGACAGCCTGGTCCTCAACAGCGTGCTCGGCGCGTGTGTCGGCGCAGGGCAGCTGCAGATCGCCGAAACACTCGTCAACGAATCCGTCCAGGTGCGCACGCCCCACTGACACACCCACGGACGCACACCTGTGTGTGTGGATGGATGGATGGATGTGTTTAGATGTGGGAAGAGGGCCAGACCCTGTTGGCGGACATAGTGAGCTTCAACATCCTCAGCAAGGGGTACGCGCAGAAGCGTGACTTCGGCGGCGCACTCAAGACACTCCGCGCGTCCGAACGCGCCGGTCAGCGACACCCCCACTTACAGACCGACAGACACCAAACACGTATCTCTTCTGTGTTCCCTCCCTCTATCAGGTCTGCAGCCCAACGACATTTCCTACAACACGGTGATCGATGCTGCGGTGCGCTCGAAGCGTCTGGACGAGGCGTGGGATCTGGTGCTGGAGATGGGGGGGAAGGGCATCGAGGCGGACAAGTACACCTGCTCCATCCTCATCAAGGGGCTGCAAAAAATCGGCCAGGGACCGGCGCGGGAGGCCCATCTCAACACCGCACTCGAGTACCTCAAACGGCTGGGCGTGAGCGAGTCGTCGAGACTGCATGAGGTGAGCATGAGGTGGAATGGGGAGATCTCTCCCTCCCTCTCCTCCCCCCTTGCTCTCCCTGTGGATGCCTGGGTGATGTGTGGCGTGTTGTCTAGGTCGTGTCATTCTGTTTGATGGAGTCTTGTCTGCACATGAAGGACCTCTCGCGCACACTCGAAGTCTTCCGACACATACAGCAACAAAGGGTACGGTCACACCAACGCCACACACAGACAGACAGACAGACACACATCATCTCTCTCCATCAATCATGTGTGTGGTGTGTGTGTGAGTGTGCAGGTGAAGGTGTCAGTGGTGACGTACGGCAACGTGATGAAGGCGCTGGGTCAGGCGGGGCGGCTCCGCGAGTGCTTCGAGCTCTGGGAAGGGCTCAAGCACACCGACCTGGAGCCCACGGCCATCCTCTACGGCATCCTACTCGACGCCTGCATCAACAAGGGAGACCTCCCCAGAGCCATGCAGGTGCTCAAACACACACACAACCACCAGCCCTTGCATCCATCCATCCATCCAACTGTGGGTGCAATCAGGTGTTTGAAGAGGCCAGGAGCTGCAATGTGGTTAACACGGTCATGTACACGACCATCCTCAAGGGCTTCGCGCGCACCAAGCAGGTGGACGAGGCCATGCGCTTCTTCCACCAGATGCTGGCCGACGCCAAGCAGGGCAAGGACGTCGCGCCCGACCTCATCGCCTTCTCGGTCCTCATCCAGGCTCACGTAGAAGGTCCGTTTGTGTGTGTGGGGGG